GAGGTTGGCTGCTTCATCACACTGACTATATCTTTTATATTTTGTGTAGGTATATATGTATATATATATATATTGATATATATTAATATTATAGTTATATAGTTAGGTATTCTTCAATATATATTAAGTTATGTTGTAGTATAGATATATTGTGTATATTGTCGAATTATGTATGTGTTCTTTCAAATAGTTAAATTCAAAGCATGTTTTGCACCCGCTGATTACTTTCTCTGCATCACCCAAGGGTCAGACTGGTAGAAAATGCCTGCGGCATTAAGTCCACCCATGTGCTTGTTTGTGTGCATAAAGCTTTTTAAATAAATAAATAAATAAATATAACATAAAGATAATACCTACTGGTAGAAACATCATGAGATACATCAAGTCACGTATTAAAATGATGATAAGTTTATCAATTTAGATTGTTTTGGACTTGTGATTACACCTGTTATCAGTTCAAAGGCTCATTCAGGCATACACATGATCACATAGTGTATCATGGATATCTGATCTTCAAATCTCAGGAAATGATAACCATTTATATGCTTATCCTTGCTTCAAGATATTAGCTTTAACTGTAAACACAATTATGGGTTTCCAGAAGGGAACTTAGATAACTTTAAGTCCCGAGCGGGTGGCGTATAGACAATTCAATTGGAACCTACAAAAAATGCTTTATTTAGTAACTAGCGGCCCGTCCCGGCTTCGCACGGGGGGACTTAAATTTTTTACATAGTTTTACGTTTTATTTATATTTATTCTCAGTTTTCTTTTTTATTTAGGAAGTATTTACCTTTTGAAAATATTTTTCCGGACTTCATTTATTTATGAACAATTCATCTATAAAGCATTTTTGTATAACTTTAACTATATGCTCAGCGCACGCCACGGAAGGCCTCAGAAACGATACTTTTCCCCCTTTTTTTGAAACATTTTTGGTTACTGCTCCACAACTATTGGACCTAGCGTGATATTATATAGCCCATGTTACTTCTGAATAATGCAGCTTTCTAATGGTGAAAAAATTATTGCAATCGGTCCAGTAGTTTTTGAGTTTATTCATTACAAACATACAAAAATACAAATCTTTCCTCTTTATTATATTAGTATAGATGTACGGCTGACAAACGGTGAAGGATAACATCGTGTTAACATTTAATTATCAGTTTAAGTTTTCATTGTCTTCTTCTTGTTTTATTTTATTTTTATTTTTTTTTGTTCCACACTGTGTCATATGTTGCATTTATTTCTCCTTTCGCAGGGCTGTAGGAAGAAATCCCATAAGGGATATGCAGTAGGTACCTATGCACCTCTGTTTTGTTATAATATATATATTTTTTCTGTGTATTGTCTGTGTTGTGTACATGAATAAATAAATAAATAAATAAATCGTGAGGAAACCTGAAGTTATATATAATTTCTAATTTCAAGTTTGAAATCCAATCCGCATGGAGTTTAGAGTAAGTATGGTGAATAACCCGTCGTGTGTCTAAACGTGGATCCACGCGAGACACAATATATTTTCTATTATGTCTCATATTTAATAATATAGAGGTATATATTCACCGCATTCAAGTGGTTAACACTCAAACCTTCTCCGTGCGCGAAAAGGCCTTCGGTCAGCAGTGGCCACATATAGGCTGTTGAAGTGTTGAAGTGAAGTGTGATATATGGTTGAACCCTCAGCACACTGTGGATAATTATTATTGGTTATTTGGTATGCAGTATGTTAGATTATCGATTTGAAGAACTTCTTTGTAACACTTCGTGACCGATCTCAGTATTGATCAGAAGCAGCAGTGGTCAGGAAAAGATTACCTTACATTGCACACTAATTGACAATAGGCAGTAGGCATACATAATGTATGTACTTAGACCGATTGACCAAATGGGGTCTGTTATCGCCTAAAGGTATCGATCATGCGCACGGAATCTCTATGATAGTGTAGGATGGTTATCTCAATTCTCAAGTCGTATAATAGATACATGTTAGTAGCTAATTCTCGCTTCTATCTCAAAACCAAAGCTAGAGAGAGCTATTATATACTCGCTACTTACCTAAATTCCTAGCTTAGTGCGAACTAGGCATTACTGCTAGCTGTATAGTAAACTGGCCTCATCGAAATTAACGGCCGATATAGACATTGGTCTAAAACAGTACCATTAAAAACCTACTTTTAAGTAGAACAATTGTACAATTAAAATTTGTTATTATATATATGGTTCATTGCGTTAATTTTCAAATAAAAGTAATATTATTTTATTTTATTTTACAATTTTAAGAAATCTTACAGTTAGGTATAATATAAGCATAGATTAAATTATATATATACGGGCCATAACAAGTTTCCGCATAAATGTAATTTTATTTTTAAATAATATAAAATATTCTTCAAAGGATGCTTATATCTTATTATAGTGTAGTTCAAAGTACGTAAGTTCAAAGTTCAATTATAGTCGCGACAATCTTGATAGATCACTTTAATATTATTATAATGTCGCTTCATTGTATCTAAAAACGATACGCCGCATTTGAGCTTTATTAATTCACAATTTATAATATATTTTAGGTACTACAAAATTTTCCTATAATAAGACAACTTTGAAGTAGCATTATTACTTCAATCTCAGTAAAATTTAAAGTAATATAGTTAATAACAAAAAATATATTAAGTTGTGATAAATATTATAATAACTAATCTTTTTTTTGAAAGGAGGGGAATGGGAGTGTAAGACTCTTACTGACTAAAAGCAACCCCGTTCCTACTTCTTCTCTTCGAGCCGGAGGCAACCCATTAAATCCTCCGCGGCTCGGCACAAAGCTAAGCACTAAGCTATACCTCCATCAGCTAAGATGATTTATCTGATATATATCATAGAAAAAAAAATACTTACAATCTCAGACAAAGAACAACTTTAGTAAAATGTGCAGTCATAAATAAAATTGGTTTTCAATCTACCTTATCTTTAGGGACCTACCATAGTGAATTGGTACCATCACCGAATCAGGCAGTTTATTACCTTTTAGCTCGTCTATCAACTACAACAGAAGATAAGTATGATAATTCTTGACTCTTATTGCAAGATAAATAAGCTGAATTATCATTAGGTAATTATTACTAAGGTATCTTCAAGTATAATTGACAAGTAGGTTTAAATAGATCACCTTGTAGATATATCTTCAAGAAAAGAGCGTACTCCTTTTTAAAAGGCCGGCAACGCGCCTGTGACTCCTCTGGTGTTGCGGGTGTCCATGGGCGGCGCTGATCGCTTACCATCAGGTGATCCGTCTGCTCGTTTTCCTCCAATTCCATATAAAAATTATATAGGAAGTATTAGGATTCTGTTTCCCAGTCAACCTTGTTTAGTATTCAATGCCCGGTTGTTGAATTATACAAAGTACCCAAGTGTTCCTGAATGTCCCATTTAGTAGATACCTATATCTTGAAGAGAGTGACAAATCCTACCTACTTTCCTACACCTAGTATCCTTGCATCGATCATGTGTTTAGTAATAATAGCAAAAAGAATTACGTGTATATTAACTCGAGCACCGTCATTATAGACACAATTAAAGAACAATAGGTTGCGGTCACCGGTGACCGCTTGGTGTTTGACAGTTTAAACTAGTTTTGTTACCTAAGAATAAGGAATGAACTAAATACTAATTCTACAAATATGTATGTTAACACAACTATTATTGTACACACCTAATACGATATCGAAAGAAATGAATAGTGCGTTACTTCCAAAATATGTATATGAACAATGTTATAATGAAATTTTGCACAAAATTACCAATTCAACAGAGTATGGAATTACACTACGGATCCCAGTATAATTCCATACTTCATGTTATTAACTTAAGCATCTGTCTAATACTTGAGAGAGAATATCGAAACACGATAAACCGAATTGGAAAAGGTTAAGCAAAACAGGCAGTCAACGAGATACAAGTACGCTATGTCTCTTTCTTTATTTTGTTCCTCTACCTATTTATGTCAAACGGATTATCTCACAAGCCGGTTTCTAACAAACTTGCTTTGGAATTATCTTTTTTGACTAAGCTTGAGTGCGATGTATCTATGAATACCCAAAACCACAATTTTAAAGAAATTCAAGTAATCATGTGTTTAACATATTACATCTGTCTAAAATTATTTGTTCATTGATATACTTGCATTTGGGCTTACGATTGCACAATGTTTTATTAACATTTCTGATCCAATTGGATCATCCTACCTACAAATAGGTATCACCCGACAGTGTAAAGTTCAAACTGATTCTTTTGCACCATTTAATCTTGATTGTTACATTCATATCGTAATGGGTACAATGTACATACCAATGTAGTCTGTGTACCTACGCACGTAAGTGGCTATATCATTTAGCCCGTCTCACTGACCGTCAGAAATACAGAATAGCCGTCTGTGGGCGTGGCATATTGTTAACAAAACGTTGTTCGCGAATTGCACAACATTATGAAATGATATCAGTACAACAGTTATCGCTACACAAGCAGAAAAACACTCTAAAAATAAATAAGCAGCCATCTTTAAATGACCACGTAATATTGTTTTTATTTTCTAATTAAAAACGATGTGCTTTAAAAAATATACACTGTTAAAATTCGAAGACAATATTTACAATGATATGTAAAGTTTCAATTACCTGGAATAAAAATATCTTGTATAACACAAATAACGTTAGGCTGATTGGAAACTAAAATGTAGTGAAAATAATAACTCTAATAAATACAACAGCTAATGTACCTAAATATTACAATAACATTTACATAATCATAGCTAAAGTTACTAACAATATCAAAAACAGATCAAAACTTAACATAATCTTCCTTAAATTGAGTCAATGTAACGTTTTGTAAACAATAAATTATTGTTGACAACAAAAATGTCGGTAACGATGATATGCATGTTTTTATCTTTTTTTAAATGTGCGTATCTCCATAATACATATAAAAGATTACGTTGTCTATTACAGCACCGGCACCGGTTTGTATTTCGAAGCGTCGCATTCCGCGCGACTGTCGTGTTGTGAGCCGTGTTGTGTATCAGTGAAAAAAAAAATAATTTAATTTAAAAATGGCACCAGAAATTAAATATACAAAGGTTTGTATTTTTTTTTTCAATCTATATTAAATGGCTAGCTTTTAACTGGCTGTAGCAAAAGTATTGTTTTTAATCTGTGTTTAACTTTTAGCGAGCTCTATTAGGTAATATTACGAGTCAAGGCCATTTTACTCGTAAATGTTTGATCTGGGTAAATATTTGAGAGTGCTCAGTTTGAGTCAAAACTATTTTAGTTGTATAATTTTGCTTTACATTATTTGTGCTTTTTATTTAAAGAATTAAATGCGATTTGAATTAATTCATAAAAGAACTATGAACTCTTGAGTTCTTTTATCAATAAATAAATTGAAAATTCATTTAAAAACCGTCTAAATATTTGCAACAAATTCTTCTTGATTCTGTGACTACTTTTTCTTAACTCTCAAAAAAAATCACTGAAATGAAAACCTTCCAAAAAACACCAACATTTTTTTCTTATGAATGACAATTCACTTGTGAAGCTTCTGATATTATTCGTGTACTACAAGCCAGTTTACAATGGTGGGTAATTCAGGCAATCCAGTAACAACAAAGATGTAAGTTTTCAGTAGCAAAGCCTACTGAACAACTCATAGTACCTAGTAGATACACATTTAATATTTTAAAGTTTATAGTATCCTTGTAACATAGAATTTGGTATTGGGTTTAGAGTTTCTAAGGAAATTCATAATAAAACTAGCAACACCGGGATGTTGAATAAATGTATTTTTGGGGGTATATCATCGAATGACTGCTCCCGCCTGGGTGAGGCGGGAGGGAGTGTCAGAATCTTACTGACTAAAAACCACCCAGTTCCTTCTCCTGCTCGTCGAGTCGGAGCCCCGGTTACCCGTCAGGTTCTCCGCGAATGTATAACATACAATCCTGCCTTCGATGAATATTTGATAATTAAAAATAGTAATTGACTATGCAGATAGTATGTATAATATGTATGCTTTACTTAGCTTGCATAAAATATGACATCCCGTAATTTGTTCATTAAAAAGCTTAAAATTTTACCGAAAATATAGTTTCAGGGTCAGCTTCATACATGCACCAAAATAAAGGAATATTTATTTTTTCTAGTTGTTCATTGACAACGAGTGGGTGGACGCCAAGAGTGGCAAAACCTTCGAGACATACACCCCTCATGATGGATCCGTCATCGCGAAAGTAGCAGAGGGTGATAAGGTATAACTATTTTAATACATTTTGCATAGTTTTTGTCATTATTTGTAATAAAATACACCAGTTCACTTCGCCCATTGATGGACTGATCTTGTTCATTATATAAGTAGAGTACTTTTAATTAATTTACACAAAATCATCTGTAATATTTTCAGGAAGATATAGACTTGGCAGTTGCTGCAGCAAAACGCGCATTCCATCGTAACTCAGAATGGCGTCAGATGGACGCTTCCAAACGTGGGGAAATTCTTCGCAAGTTTTCTGATCTCATGGAGAGAGACCAAAAGTACCTTGCTGAGCTGGAATCCTATAACAATGGTATGGTACTAGCCCACGCCAAAACATTCATCGGTGGAGCTGTGGGTATAGTCAGGTACTTGGCAAGCTGTGCCGACAAAATAACAGGAGAAACTATACCTTCAGGTAAGATATTACAGTAAACACATATCTACAATCTAAAAATGTTAAAATCTACAGATCTACAACAGTTTTAACCATGAATTTCTTTCTCATCATGTTTACTCGATTGTCATCAGATGGCGAAGTATTCTCATACACCTTGAGACAACCCATCGGTGTGTGCGGTTTAATCCTACCATGGAATGGCCCGATCTTCATCTTCGTTAGCAAAGTGACCACAGCTCTTGCTGCAGGTAAGTCTAATTCGACATATTTGAACTCTTAGAGCAAAAAGTGACACGACATGTGTATAATTTTATATGAACTGTACAGGTTGTACCGTGGTGGTGAAGCCAGCAGAACAGACACCACTTACAGCACTCGTGCTTGCTGCATTATTAGCTGAGGCTGGTCTCCCTAAGGGAGTACTGAATGTTGTCAACGGTTTTGGCCCTGGAGCTGGTAGCAGCCTTACTCACCACAGTGACGTCGCTAAGGTTTCTTTCACTGGCTCTGTTGAGGTAAGTGTACTGAAAGTAAAGTGACATACTAAGATTTCTGTACATACAAGTCATGACATTTATAAACATAATTTTTTCCATAGGTTGGAAAACTGATCCAACAGGCGTCTGGTAATAGTAACTTGAAGAGAGTCACTCTCGAACTCGGTGGAAAGAGCCCTCTTATCATCATGAATGACGCAGATTGTAAGTTTTCAAAATATTTTAAAGTTTACGATGCTCGTTTTTATATCACCAGGAAAGTGTATTTAAAATATCCAAATTTTCAGTAAACGTTGCTGTTCCTTATGCCGCTAATGCTGTATTCTTCCATCAAGGACAAATCTGCATAGCAGCTTCCCGTTTATTCGTACAATCTGGCATTTACGACAAATTCGTCGAAGCTGCTGTCAAGTACGCTCAGAGCATTAAAGTTGGAAACCCAACCGATCCCACAACACAGAACGGACCTCAGGTAAGCTAAGGAGAATTAGTAGATGATACATCATAATCACAACATAAATTGTACTATAATTAAAATAAGTGTCATTGTTTTTAACAAGACTCTAACAAATTTCGTAGATTGACGAGGAAATGATGAACAAAGTTTTGGGATACATCGAGAAGGGGAAAAAAGAAGGTGCGAAGTTGCTATGTGGTGGTAAAAGAATCGGTACCTCTGGTTACTACATCCAGCCCACTGTCTTCGTTAACGTAACTGATGATATGACCATCGCAAAGGAGGAGGTAATTGACATATTCCGAAATAGTAATTATTACACTGATGTCTGTGATTTATATCATACTATTTGACTCTGAGCTTATATTTTATTTCAGATCTTTGGCCCAGTACAAAGTATTCTGAAGTTTGAAACTTTAGATGAAGCTATTGACCGGGCTAATGCTACAAACTATGGATTAGCAGCTGGAATCTTCACAACCGATCTCAATAATGCTCTCCAATTCTCCAAACACGTCGAGGCTGGAACAGTTTGGTAAGACAGCACTCTCTATTTGATCAACATAACTAGTAATTCGATATCTTTTTTAATATGTGCTCTAAAACGCGACAAAATAATTCGTGTTTGACAAAGTCAATCAGTTGACTAAATTAATATTAATACCTGCAGGGTCAACACATATCTGCATTTCACACCACAACAGCCATTCGGAGGATTCAAAGAATCTGGAATCGGTCGTGAAAAGTGAGTATTAATAAGCTTTTTGAAAACATTTTTCTTTTTCATAGAAGTACCTCAACTATATTAGAGTCTACCCCCAAGTCTTAACCGAACATAATTGTCAGTACATCTACCATCCAAAGGGTAACAGACAGTTGCCACGTTGATGATTATGGACCATGAAAAAATTCAACGTAATACTGACAGCCTCGGCTTCAAACTTTAGACTTGGTACTATTAACAAAAAAATCTATTCATCAGTTTAGGCTCAACCCGAAAATTCAAACTCAACGTCACGCCAACCGTCAATGGTTTCAACTCCAATATGATAAGCCAATGTTCATATTCCTTTCTTAAAAACTTTGTGTTGTTTCATATTGTATTTTAATGTGGTTTTATTATATTTTCCAGTGGTTTGGACTCACTTCTAGCTTACACCGAAGTAAAAACTGTCGCCGTTGCCTTACCAAAGAAAGTCTGAAGCAATATAATTTATGTTTCTTAGTTTTAAGACTCACAAAATAGAGTTATATCTTGTATTGAAATCATTATTATAGCTTTATGTTTTTTAAAATAAACGTTTAAGACTGAAACGTTATTTATTGTTTTAATTGTCCATTTCTTTATTAAGTACTGAAATGTCCTTGCGATCTACATATCTGATTATCAAATGGCTCTTATTATGAATGTGTACCTGGACGTTAAGCATATGCTATTTATGATATCTCATTCTAATGAAATAAATGTACTCGTTACTACTGTTGTCAAGGTTACCACCTTGACAGCAGTTGCAGCTATTCTTCACTCACATTACCAGTATTTTTACTTGTTACTTTCTATTATTCGTTGTTAAAATATTTTTCTTAACAACGTGTGCATTTTATTCCAATTATCGAAACCCATTGCCGGCAAGCTAGACTGCCGGGCATAGGGTCTCGAGTTCAATTCTTGGGTCGGGCAAAGTATTACTGGGTTTTTTCTAAAAATTCTTAGAAGTAGCACGGAGTCCGGAATTGTGTCCGGTATATAGCAATAGGTCAACCCCCTACTACATGGGACTCTTAACATGAATAGTGATAAGTGGGTGTTACATTGTACAGTGGCATTAAGAGCTGTAATGTGCACCTCTGCCGACCCATACTTGGACAAAAAGGCGTGATGTTATTTACTATCGAAACCCACGTATATTGTTAAAGTAATCATGTTCTCCGATGTTTACTACCGTGCTTTTGCAACCATGATTTTATAACGATTCTCGAGCAAATACCTTCAGGCTATGTTTGAGGAAGGAAAACTTAAGTAACACAACATCATAATAGATACACAACAGCTGTAGATAGTACCTATAAAGTATGAGTTTTCTTCTAATTTCACCTTTGCTCTGTATTACTTGTTTTATATGTTCCTCTCTCCACATAATTGTCTCAAATAAAAAGGGACTAATACTGCTTTACGTAATTCCTAAGTGATACCACGGCCTCACAATGCTTTGAAACGAGTATATCGGATAGACCATAGTGATACCACGACCTCACAATTTCCACATTGTAAGGGAGGTTACCGAAGGCCCATTTCCTTACTTTCCTTACTTACCACATTTGAACTTATCCTCGTGTGTTGCGAATGTCTTTAAGATGCGTTGATTGCTTATTTGGAAATCCGTGTACTAAAAATATTACGTACACTGTGATTAAATAAGGTAGGTAGATATTTAATATTTAATTGATCAATCACACTAATCTTAGTTTTGTACTTCGAATCATTAATAAGTTGCAAGTGACAAAAAACGGTGACATACACAGGTATGCAGAACATAATTAAGAGTTTGACGGACATATTAAATTATCATCATTACTGGTTTTGCTGTTTTTTTACTATATTCGAAGAATAACTATTCATTGCGAAGTTGACGCAATACCTGTACATTTTTCGATGTACCACCCGGAGGACATGGTGGATGATTTCAACAGCCTTTAACTTACTTTCACGCTTTTCTTTTGCCGTTCCCATATCTCGCTATCTATCAAACATCAACGTTATTGATGGAACGATCTGCACTATGCCTATGCGCTGCCTTAGTATTATCAAAATACACATAAAGCGAAACCACGAGTAGGTAATAAACAATGCTTATCTACTTAACGATAACATTATTTCAGTTCCTGTGTACTGAAATAACCATTATAAAAGCAGTATTTTCATTCTGGAATAGGCCACAATATATACATAATTATTATTATTATGTAGTGCAAAAGGATTAACCTCTTGTCTGTTGAAAGTTGCGGGTACCTATAATGTGATTTATACCGGGAGCCGGTGTTTCAACAGATAAAAGGATAATAGAATGGCTGAAATCTCTCACATATGACGAAACAGATCACATCTTAAATAGAGTTACTTGATGAGATTTATTATTGCACGTTGAAACATTTCAATTCACACATTCACAACTACCACTCACAGACGCTAAAACACACACACATAACATAACATAACATCTCCTTTTA